AGAGTATTTCTAGTTCTGGGAGTTGTATTTTAGAATGGATATTGAAAAGCAGGAAATGCAAATTTGAAAACTAGGATAATGAGACAATTCAAATTACTGTAAGAGGAGAGACTAGGAGGATTGGGGATGTTAATCTTGGAGAAGAGAAAAGTTAGGGAGAATTTACTAATTATCTTAAAATATTTTAAGGCCTCTCACATGGAAGAAAGATTAGATTTCCTTTTCTTGGTTCTAGAAGGCTGAGAGGATGCAGATTTCAGTTTGATTTTTTTTAAGAGCTTGCTAGCAATTATAGGAATCTAAAAATGTAAATGTTTGCCTTGAAGGATAATGGGTTTCCAGTCATTGAAAACCTTTAAATGGATTCTGTAAGGATAGTGGTTACCTGACCATTTATTTCAGATTTTGTAGGTCAGAAGGATCCTTTGGTTACAAACTGGACTAGAAAAAGCTAACAATGTGTAGCTCACATCCCTATAGCCCTTTAAAGTTTACGTAATGCTTTCCTTATCGTAGTCCTATGAAGAAGGTTATAGAAAATAACTATTAAATATGCTATTATTCTATTTAATAAATTATAAAATAGATTCAGAAAGGTTTAAATGAAATGAATTGCCCTGGGTAACTTGGTTGTCAAAGGTCAGAGCTTGGGACTTGAACCAAGATTTTTTTTATTTCAAGGGTAGTGTTTTTTCCCCTTTGAAACCATAACTAAATTAGCTTTGGGATTTTTAAAAAAAACTATAATTCTATTATTTGTTTACATTTTATGATTTTAATATTTTTGTGAAGTTCATGAGGAAAAATACCTAAAGATATAGAAGTGATTGAAAATTGAGCTTCCTATTACCTAAAGAATCAGATATGTCCTGTATTCTAAATATTTTCCGTGTACTCTTATTAGAATGGAGGGAGTAATTTTTTAAAATATCTGAATAGTTATATCTAAATAATTAATTGGCTATTGCTTTGTTTACCTACTTTTACTGACATTGTAGTTCATCATATTCCTCATATTCTTAGTATCCAAATGTCTTACCATTGATTATCTATAAAACATCAGGGACTAAAACTGCAACTTATAGTAGAGAGTAAATTTGTATGAATATGTATAAATTTGAATAATTATGTACTGCTAACTGATGCGAAAGAAAACACTGAGACAACAGTAGAAATAAATGAAAACATTTCATTTCTATTCTGGGTTATTTTATAGACATAAGACTAGAACTTAAGGAGTACTCTGACGTATCTTGTTTTAAAACAAAATTATTTCCAACTTGATATCAGCTCTGATTTTCAAACTGCATTAGAATGTTTTTAACAGGAAAATGGGTTATGATATGTCTCTAGAAAAATTACTAATTACCGATACACCAAAATAAAATGGGTAGCATTTTCACATGGTAAAACATTTAAAATACTCTGAGCAACCAAAAGACAAAGAACCTGTTTTTTTCAAAATCTATTGTTTCTTTTACTATTTAAGGCAAGTCTGTAGCTAGAAATAGCAGATTATGTATCATGTCTAAAACCATAGTACCTTTGCTTTGCTTTGCTTTGGCTTTGCTTGATATTTTTCCCCCAAGAGGCAAAGGTGAAGGTCTAACAACCTTCATCTTAGTTTCTAGTTAAATGTGGAGAAAGATCTTTTCCATTCCACTTTTTAAATTTTAAGAATCTTCCATCTATACCATAATCAGCTCTAAAGGGCTATAGGATCTGAATATTAAAGGTCATATCATAAAAATATTAAAGAAGAGAACCAGATCAGGTTCACCTCATCACCTCTCACAGCAGTTCCCAAGGGTTTCACTTTTGGCCAAACAAGGGGAAAAGGTGATCACAAAAGATAAAATAAACAATTTAAATTACATGAAATTGAAAAGCTTTTATCTGAAATGGCTTATTATGGAGGAGTAGAAGCCCTTATATCAAATATTTCTGAAAAAGATCTGATATATGGGTAATTAACAGAAAATATGTAAGATCAAAAACCATGTATGCCACTCCCTCCCCCCTTTCTCAAATGGCCAAGCAATCCATCAACAAGTATTTATTAAGTGACTACTATTGCCAGGCACTATACTTAAGTGCTGGAGACACAAACTCAATGAATGAAGCAATTCCTAATTGTAAGTGGAAAACAAACAATTCTCAAAAGAAGAATTAGACGGGGCAGCTAGGTGATGCAGTGGATAGAGCACCAGCCCTGAAGTCAGGAGGACCTGAGTTCAAATCTGACCTCAGACCAAACACTTGACACTTACCAGCTGTGTGACCCTGGGCAAGTCACTTAATCCCAATTGCCAAAAAAAAAAAAAGAAGAATTACACTATTAGCAACCATAAGAAAAAATGTTTCACATCACTAATAAGAGAAAATGTGGACAAAATAACCCTGAGTTTTCACTTCACATCCAGCAAATTGGCAGAGATGACAACAGATGAAAGTCGTCAAAGTTGTAAGAGTTATGAAAAGAAAGGCACACTAAATACATTCTGAGTAGAACTGTGAATTGGTTCACCATTTTGAGAAACTAGTTGCAAAGATGGTACTGTGAAAGTGACTAAGAAAGTAACTAAAATATCCAGACCATGTGACCCAGAGATTCCAATGTTCTGCATATACCCTAAGGAGTTCAATGGTAGAAAGGCCCCATGCACACCAACATATTTATAGTAGCACTTTTTGGTTTTTCTTTCATCAAGCCTAAATGGACATCTTTTAAATTCCCACATCACTTTTCTCAGTTTTGCCCTCTAGGACCAAATAGAATAAATTTAATCTCTCTTCGACAGAATGGTTCAACCAGTGGACAACAACCAGCACTGTAATGTAGTGCTCAGTACACCCAAGGTTAAGGAACTTTGAGGTTCCTAACAATCTGTTCTGAAATGTTGGGGATTGCCCTGAAAATATAGTGTTCTGAATCTTAAAGATATGAAGGGCCCTAGTCCTGGGAGGAAATCCGTGTAAAAACCCAGATGACCATGGAGAGACTGAAGGGGATCAGTCACTTCACCCAAAAGTACAGCAGGGGGTAGAACCTGACCTTATTAAAAAGCCCCAATTCAGGAACTAAACTGGAGATAAATGACTAAATTAAAAAAAATACCAATCAGTGTAAAAAATGACTGATTGTAGATCTAAAGATCATCCAAATGAAGAAGCAAGTAAATTCATAAAAACTGTACAGAAACTGGAAGGGAAAAAGGGATTTTCCATAAGTACTAAATGGATTTACCACCACCATCCCCTCCATGAAGCAAGAGATAAAAGAAATAAAAGGTCTGGAGGAACTAACTGTAACGATATTAAATAATTTAGAAGAAAAAGTAGTGAAACTTACCTAAGAAATAGACTCCCTAAAAACTGAGAATATTTCAAACAGAAATCAATGATTCCATGGGATATAAGAAATTTTTTTGAACTAAAAATAGAAAATAAATGTAAGATAACTCATAGCTAGTATCCTGAAAATGGTATTGTTTTCCAATGTTCAGTAAAGCATTATCAATAAAAACCCTAACTCTAATGACTCATAAGTGCAAATCCCTGAAAGAAAAGGGCTATTTATAAGTTGATAGAAGGAAAATCCATAAGACTGTGATATACATGAAGTGCTTTGGGAAACTTCTGGCTTAATACAAACATGGAAGCCTTATCAGAAATAGCTTCTGCAACTTGAGACACATTACAACCCTGAAAAGGAAGATACAGCTATACCCACAAGAAGGATAAAATTAGAGTTTAAACATACACCTTCACTAGACCCTGGTGAGTTGCTTTAGCAGGAGGCCTCTAAACTAATAGCTCTGAACCCTCAACTATGCAGTTAAAAAAAAAAAGAGAAGTAAAAAAAATTGAGAGAGAAAATATGCTCTGATGTTGTGGTTGTATAATCATTTTAAGTCATGTCTGACTCTTCGTGACCCCATTTGGGGTTTTATTGGCAAAGATATTACAGTGTTTTGCCATTTCCTTCTCTAGCTTATTTTACACAGGAAGAAACTGAAGCAAATAGGGTTAAGTGACATGCTTAGGGACATACAGTTAGTAGGTGTCTGAGACCAGATTTGAACTCAGGAAGATGAGTCTTAGTACCTCCATACCTGGCACTCTATCTTATGTGCCACATAGCTGTCCATGCTCTGAAGTAAGTGATTTCAAATATAAAGAAGAATAGATACAAGAAAAGCTAAAGAAAAAAAACCTAGGCCTTCTTGGATTAGGAGTACTACAGCTCTAAGTTCTAAAGAGTAGGTAAGGAGAGAACAAAAGAGTTGAGAGCCTTCTAGTTCCCTGTTCTCCTAATCAATAAATGAAGAGCCACAGTGCATTCTTAGCAACCAAGACCTTCAAGAGTCCTCAGTAAAAGATAGTAGGAAAGAAAGGAAGGAGAATGAGAACTACTTATTTTCAAGGGAAGAGAGAAAAGAGTGAAGGGATGCAGCCAGGGGGAACAAAGCCTTTAGGAGAGAGTAAGAGAGAAGGCAAGAGCATGGATTATAAGATCATTATACTTAGGAATCCATTTAGTTCAATGCCTTCATTTTACACTCAGGCCCATAGAAGCTATGACTTCCCAGAGTTATCCTGCCAGTATGATTTTAGGATGGAACTTGAACTCAAATCTTTCTAATACAACCTTTATCAGTTTTTTTTTTATTGTTTAAAAACAAGGTGATTTAATTTTCCTGGAGATTATTCTCCAGTATATAAGGAGTAAACATCAATAATCCAAAAATTATTCCTATGTTGTTGGTAATATGGTTTCCTCCGACAGTTGTGGAGAGGGAAAAAATTCTAATGGATACCAATTACTTAATTTGCAAATAGCTATTCAGACATCTTACAACTTAAATTAATACTTCATAAAGTTGTCTATCTCTAAACTATTTAAAAGTAGATGCTTTAGACAAGACAATTTTTGTGTGCTTATGATGTAGAGGCAAAATAAATCGTATGTATTATTTCTTGTCCATTCTCTCTAACAGGATTGGGAATTCCCACATTTCATGGGAGATGTTGACGTAAATCTTCCTGGATTACACACACCTCATATGCAATTCCAGATTCCTTTGCTCCAGATGATCTTTAAGGAAGAATACCGAATACATATAACAGGTGTGTAACCTCAACAAACACATTTGGTTACCTATCAGAATATATTGTCCTATTTATTTTGGGGAGATAAATTGTTTTTACAATACATAGTTCAGCACACTTTCTCTTCATTTCCCTTCTTTGGTTACTGATGAGATTAAAAGAATGTACTAAAGCTTAAGCAAGCCCACTTCTCTGTAAGAAATTAGCAACTCCTTGTCACCTTAAGTAATACATATTGCTGCTAAAGACAAAAAATTCTCCCTTGTTTAAAAGGGTTCTCTTGTTGATTCATGGGTTATTTCATTTTTAGATTCATTCTGCTTATTCTGTTTTAGTCTGATTTATGATAATTTATGATAATAACCTTCCATGACACCCAAGTCATTCTAGTCTTAGAAAAGCTGCCTGAAATTAAGTTTTATATCAGTTTTTAACACAAAGTAGAGAGCTGAATGATCACAAATAAAGAACAGGCTACATTTGTTTCTGTTAACATGTAAAGTGCATGTGTACATATGAGCATGTATGTGCATGTATGTTTTTTAAGGGCAATGACTCAGTATCCTATCCCATGCTGGAGAACTTAAGCAATTAGTGCCTAAAGTGAAAACTTAAAAAAAAAAAAACAACCTTAAAAACTGTTGCTTAAAATAGCCTAAGCAGAGGCAGCTAGGTGGTGCAGTGGGTGGAGCACCGGCCCAGAAGTCAGGAGGACCTGAGTTCAAATTTGGCCTCAGATCAAACACTTGATACTTACTAGCCATGTGACCCTGGGCAAGTCACTTAACCCCAATTGCCTAAAAAAAAAAAAGCCCAAGCAGAACAAAACTGAATACTGATAGAACCCTTGCTTCCCAAATAGTCTATTTTTTGTTTTTTAGACTTTGTGTAAGGTAATATTTCTAAAATGGAGAATAAGCCCATGCATGGGGATAATGCATCAAGTTTTTATTTATATTCAAAGTTAATAAAGCCCATCTATCATATATATTTATGCATATATTACACAATATATGTAACACATTCTATGTGTATTATACATAAATATATGCATATTAGGATAAATCAATCATTTTCATGCAGGCCACAGTTTCTGAGTACCCATTTAACTGCTTTAATGATTAAATGGACCTCTCAAATAGCCATAATACACATGGCATGAGCACTTCCCCTTGGGTGACTCTTGCCTGGGCCATCTGGTCTTACCAACAGGGAATCTCTGTTTTCTGTTTTTAAGTTATTCTAGTCTGTCATCTCAGTAATATTTACTTTGAGCATTATAGTCTTGTCAGAAATATTATGTTCAAGTTAAAAATGCTGGATAGAGAAAGAAAATGGAATTAAAGTAAGTAAATAAACTGTAAGAATGCTTAGCTCATAACTTTTGAATGCTAGTATTACAGGACTATATATATAGATGTACATTACATCTATAGCATATATTATATATAAAATCAGTGCATATCTGACTTCAGTTTGAGATAAAAATCATTTGTCTAGCATTATATTTTCAAAAGTTTATGAGCAACCCAGAATATCTTTATTATTTCCTACATACTGCCTATACACTTTGTTACTAAGAATCTTTGGAGTTAATATCTTTTTAAGGTCAGCCTGTTTCCCTGAGGTAGGCAAGGCAGGCAATTCATTCAACGTTGGGACACAAGGCAGGACTTTAAGAGATAGGAATTTCAGGAGCTGGGGTTTTTCAAAGTAGGGATGGTCGAGAAAAATGTGAGCTTTGACATTATCTCTTTTAACTTTGTACAATTTAAAACTAGGTTAGAATAAGACACAGACTTGTATCCTAGGACACATGCCAAAGATTCCTGGTAGGATAACTGTGGGTTTGGAAGCTTTGGAGAATAGTTAACTTACCTTCCCTCTTCCATCTTTCTTTGTCCTCCCTAGTTTTCTCTTTATAGTGTTAATCAGCTGAAGTGTCACAAAGGCCAATCTGGTTTTTGTTTTCACAAAAGCCAGATATAATTTTGAGGGATTGGTGAAAGACTTTCACTTAGGCTTTCACTTTGTTAGACAATAGGCACAAAGGAAGGAGAATTACCTGAAATGTTTCATCCACTGTGCTGTAAGGCTCAGTGTACTTAAACAGTCTCATCAGGAAGATGAATCCTAACTTCCACATGAACTACAAATGCTGAATCATTAATACTTCTTCAGAGCTCTGTTTTATTAGAGTTAATGAAGTCTAATAACTCCTACATTCTTGTTAAGTAAAGTAAAATATCACAATATGTAGTTGTTAAGCATGAAACACCTTTCTTCATCCAACATGTCCCTAATTTAGGTTTGAGATTTTTTTTCACATAGAATCTTAACACAGCACAGTGTTTAAGTTAAGTAAGAAGTCAGATACAGGGCCATACAAAATAAAGAGATGAAGTGACCAGAGAGAGGGATGCATAATAAACTACCGATACATACAAATATATACACATATATGTATAACTATATGTATGTATATATATCTGTACATAAATACACATGTATTTTTAGATACACACACATATACACACATAGATACATATGTTGGTGGAGGCAGGTGTGTGTTTCTATGTGTGTGTGTGTGTGTGTGTGTGTGTAAGAAATGACAGGACATAGAACTAGAAAAAACCTTAGGGAATAGCATCGGGTTGGGGAACCTGTGACCTTGAGGCTATATGTGGTCCTTTAGGTCCTCAAGTGTGGCCCTTTGACTGAATCCAAACTTCATAGAACAAATTCCCTTAATATAAGAATTTGTTCTGTAAAACTTGAACTCAGTCAAAAAGCCATGTCTGAGGATCTAGAAGGCCACATGTGGCATCAAGGCCACAGGTTCCTCACTCCTGGAATAACTTATCTATTCCCTTTATTTTACATGGGAGAAAATTGAGTCCCAGAAAGATAAAGTCTCTTGTGGCAGGTCACATAGTTAAGTGGCAGAGCTAGGATTCAAATCCCAGATTTTCTAATAATTGGTTTATTACTTTTTGTAGCATGACATACTACCTTCTGATATATTTGACTAGCAATGTTACACTAGAAACAAGATTCAGGGTCAGAGAGGAAGACTGAATGAAAAGAATTGGTATAGGCACATGAGAATTACAGAAATGGAGGTAATCTATCAGCACAGAGAGAACCTGTATATGGAGAAATGGAATATTGATAGGGAACAAGAGTTTGAGTAATATGGTACAGTAGAAAGAAAATTGGATTTGGAGTTAGAAGATGGGTTAAATCCCAGCTCTGCCACTTACTACCACTTTGACCTTGGGCAAGTCACTTCTTCAAGTTTCAGTAAAATATATAAACTTTTTAAAATGAGGGTATTAGACTTGAAGGCTATAAGGTCCTTTACATTACTGAGCCACACAATACAGTGTTATGAGGAAATAACTTTGTAAACTATAAAAATGTCTACATTTTAATTATTATCTTGCTTCCTTTATTTGCTAATGCTACTATGCCTTCAATTAGGAGGGCTATGGTATTCATGGGAGCCTATAAAGGGAGAGAGATGGTTAGCTCTAGCTTTCCAATTACTCCTACCTCAATATAGGTTTGGTATTGGCCAGAATGGAGATAGTTCTGAGTGTTATCAAGACTGAGTTAGGCTATTTGAGCAGAGGATTCATCACCCTCCTTTACAACCAGGATCCTGAAAATCTGGCATCATTGTTCAGTAGAACATTACCAATTAGAATTTAAATATAATAACACACATGCAGGACCCTGGGAGAAAAGGCTATTTATAACTGGAAAGAAGGAAAATGCAAAACTGCAATATATCCATAGAGTTCTTTGGAAAATTTTTAGTTTAGTACAAATATATAAGCCTTTTCAGAAATAGCTTCTACAACCTAATATACTTCATGGATTTTAGGATTAGCTGTAACCCAATAAATGGAGACACACAAATTCCCACAAGAAGGGTAAAATTAGAGTTTAAACAGATACCTTTACTAGACCCTGCTGAGTTGCCTTAACAGGAGGCCTCCAAACTAATAGCCCCAAACCCCCAACTATGAAGTTAAAAAAAGAAGAGCAATTTTAAAAAAGAGTGAGTGAGAAAATAGAGAGGAATTATGCTTTAAAGTAAATTATTTCAGCTAGAGAGATGAGCAGAAACAAGAAAAGAAAAAAATGAAAAAAGCTTAACCCTTCTAGAGTTAGCAGTATACTGCAGCCGTAAAGAATAGGCAAGGAGAGACCAAAAGAGCTGAGAAGCTTCCAGTCCCCTATTCTCCTATCAGTAGCAGAAGAGCCACAGTGCATCCTTAGCAAGCAAGACCTTCAAGAGCCCTTAGTAGAAGATAATAAAAGAAAGAGAAGAGTGAGAGATTTCATGAGAGGAAAGAGGGGATGCAAGTACTTGGCACAAGTCCTTCAGGGGATAGGAAAGCGAGAAAGCATGGATCATAGAATCATGATACCTCAGAAGCCATGTAGTTCAATGCTCTCATTTTACGTATGAGAAAACTCAGAACCAGAGAAGTGACTTGCCCAAGGTTACCTAGCCGGTATGTGTTTAGGAGTGGGACTCAAATCCAAGTCTTTACAATAAATTGGTGGTGTGATTATTCCCACATGATTCAAAAATTGCCCCCACATCAGCAACTAATCATTTCCTATCAAACTATAATAAAATTATAAATTTGCATTATATATTTTGCAAATGATATGATGATATATTTGGACAGTCTCAAATACAACTAAAATTTAGTTGAAAAATTAATAATTTAGTAGTAGGATATAAAATATATCCACATAAATTGTCAGCATTCCTTTAGATCTCAAACAAAACACTGTAAGAAGAGATAGTTAAAGATACCCCATTTGAAATAATTCTAGATAGTATAAAATACCTGGGAGTACACCTAGGAGCACAAGCACAGGGACTAAATAAACAAAATTATGAAAACTTTTTATACAAATAAAATCAGATTGAAATAATTGGAGAAATATTAATTGTTCATGGGTAGGCAGGGCCAATATAAGAAAAAATGACCATT